CAAAGTTCGTTGACGTAAGGGCGTCAATGAAGGAACATCTGAAATAATTTTATTTTTGACAGAAAAATGTGTAATTATTTATTTAGCTTGGTCTCCGCTGTGTTGGAAGATGAAAACCAGTATCCTGTTCCAAATCTTTGGTCATTGACTCCCGTGAGAATGTGCTCTGTCGAGGTTGACGAATTTCTTCAAAACGTGGCACACTTTTTAGGTTGTATACATAGTAAGGGTAAGGAGGCTCTCATTGATACACACTCGTTTGGATATAAAGTTATTAAGATTACTTTAAATTTGATCGTCTCCCTCAGGTGACTTAATTTGTGAATTAATAATAAGCCATTTTTGAACCATTTTTGAAGTGAAGATCAGCCAGAAGCTAACAATGCATCCAGAGAAATTTTGTTGCGGTTTATGTGCGGGCGACATCATGGACCATAGTTTTTCAAATATGCTGCGAATCGTAACGTAACTGTGAATGGGGAGCGCTGCAGTGAGAAGATATCCAACCTTTTTTGGCCCAAAATGCAATTTGACTTGACCAATGATTTCAGCTGCTGAATAAATGTTTTTATACCCTCCACCATAGTATGGACGGTATATTAAGTTTATCATTCCGTTTGTAACACCTCAAAATATACATTTTAGACCCCACAAACTATATATATTCTTGATGAGAATTAAATTTTATGTCGATTTAACAATGTTCGTCCGTCTGTCCGTACTTGATAGAGTAGACCGACCAAGGACTGATGGAAATATTAGGATTTGCCAAGTTTGAGCAAAATCCCTTTCTGTGCAGTAATATATATATATATATATATATATATATATATATATATATAATTTTTTTTTTTTTTTTTTTTTTTTTTTTTTGAAATTTTTGACCTTTTGACCAGAAGGAGTGGACCGACATTGCCCATCTCTGAACACGATTTAAGTTTGATAAAAATATTGTGATGTACCAAGTTTGGACCAATTTGCATACGTTTTGGCATTATTAAATGATATGTATCCTCTGTAGCCAAATGGCTGAGGGTATAAAAAAACTACTGAAAATTTTCTCAAAATTCTTTATATATTTAAAAAAAAAAAATCTTTATAATAAATCTGATTGTCTTCCTATTTCGCACTTCCCAATATTTCTACCAACACATAATCTTGTGTGCTGACAGAACATATCGAACCACCCTCCAAAGGGTCAACATTTAGAATAGTTATAAATCTTATAAAATGTGAAATAAGAGTCAGATTGTCTTCAAATTTCACACATTCCAATACTTTTATACCCTCCACTTTGGAAAGGAGGGTATATTAACTTTATCATTCCATTTGTAACATGTCTAAATATTCGTCGTACACCCCATAATGTATATATATATTCATAATCAGCATACAATTCTGATTCGATTTAACGATGTCCGTCTGTCTGTCCCAATATTCGGTATTTTCATGATTTTTGCCACATTTTTTCACGGATTTGTCTGAGAATTGGTATTTTTGGCCATAGTGGGTTCTAGCTCCGGTGGCGAAGCATTGCATGTATAGGACCACGTTTTTCTATAGCCCCCATATAACGGTAACTCCCAATATTCGGTATTTTGATGATTTTTGCCACATTTTTTATGGATTTGTCTAAAAATTGGTATTTGTTGGTCATAATGGGTTCTAGCTCCGGTGGCGAAACATTGCATGTATAAGTCCACGTATTGGTATAGCCCCCATATAACGGTACCTTCCGATATTCGGTATTTTCATGATTTTTGCCACATATTTTCACGGATTTGTCTGAGAATTTGTATTTGTAGGTCATAATGGGTCCTAGTCCGTGTAGCGAAACATTGTATGTAGGGATTCATGTCTTGGTATAGCTACCATATAACGGTACCTCGCGATATTCGGTATTTTGATGATTTTTGGCACATTTTTTCATGGATTTGCCTGAAAATTGGTATTTGTAGGTCATAATGGGTCCTAGTCCGTGTAGCGAAACATTGTATGTAGGGATTCACGTCTTGGTATAGCTACCATATAACGGTACCTCGCGATATTCGGTATTTTGATGATTTTTGGCACATTTTTTCACGGATTTGCCTGAAAATTGGTATTTGTAGGTCATAATAGGTTCTAGCTTCTTTGGCGAAACATTGAATGTATGGGTCCACGTTTTGGTATAGCCCCCATGTAATGGTAACTCCCGATATTCGGTATTTTGATGATTTTTGCCACATTTTTATGGATTTGTCTAAAAATTGGTATTTGTTGGTCATAATGGGTTCTAGCTCCGGTGGCGAAACATTGCATTTATAAGTCCACGTTTTGGTATAGCCCCCATATAACGCTACCTCCCGATATTCGGTATTTTCATGATTTTTGCCACATTTTTTCACGGATTTGTCTGAGAATTGGTTCGGCCCGGCCGAACTTAATGTTTTTTTACTTGTTAATAACACATTCGTTCCGGTACCTCCCCCACAACGAGTCAACAACCCATTCCTTTAAATATTCGTCACAATCCAAAATTATTATAAACACAAGATCTGTTGTGAAAATAATAGATATCGGCCCACTCGTTCTTGTACGTCACCCACAAATCATCAACATTTTGAATAACCAAAACGACCATAAGAGGCAAACTGTTCTCTTAAAATTTCGCACATCTCTTTATGTCTACTAAAACAAAATCTAGTGTGAAGATGGAATATTTAGATCCACTCCTTCTGGTACCACACACTACAAAACATTTCCAAAATTTTAACATTTCCCAAAATAATTGGCCAAATCTGGTACCTTGTAATATTTTGTATCAGACTTTGGTCAGATACGAAATTTACAATATTAGCCCACACTTATGGAACCTCCACTAGAAAGGGGAAATGAATAATCATAATGCACGTGAAAATATATTTATATACACGCCCATTGACTGAGGGTATACCTCTGGTACCACTGGTATTGGGTGAAAGAGTAAATGGGTAAGAATGCTATCGCTGTAAGTGTTTTTAAAATTGCATATAAAAATTATTAAAATTTTGTACCACGAAATGGTCATATTTGTACTATTCAGTATAAAATACCAATTGATGTGATTGATTCGATAACTATCTAGCGGTATTTATACCCTACAACACTATGTGTTGGTGCTATTATAAATTTGATTGGGCCAAAAATTATGTAACACCTCGAAATATTGATTTCCCACATAGGAAAGTATATATAGATCTTCCTATCTCGCCGAGTTGAGTCGATCTAGCTATGTATGTCCGTCTTTATGGCCCGATCTTCACGAAATTTAGAATGGAGTTGGGGCTAGGGTCAGAATAGATATTTCTTTTGAAGATGAACGCATAATATTTAGGGGTCGAAATGGACCAAAAACTGAAAAAATGTCGAATTTTGCAGTAGCTATACAGGTCGCAATTATAGACCAATCGACCCGGAACTTCGCATGTAGCTAGAGTTTAGGGCGGGGAAGAAGCCTGCCAGTTTGGGTGGTCATCGGATAATATTTAGTGGGTAAAATAGAGCACATCTTTTGTTTTGAAAAAATTCAACATTTTTCATTAAACCGCGAATATTTTAAATCCCAGCGAAATCACAAAGCCATGACAAGGTTACTCCTGATCTTTACATTGATGTTAACATCCAACAAATCGGATATATAGCAAAATATGTGCGATATATATGTCTATCAAAGAAGATATGCTTAAAAGATCTCTTATATGTCGAGAACGGCTGAACTGATTTCGACAGTTCTCATTAATTAAGAATGGCCTCTTGGCAGGAAAGAAACAACGTCTAAAAAATCGCATAAAAATATCTCTCTAAAGATGAAAATATTGATTTTGTAACATTTTCTCATATTTTTTCAATTTTGTCACATTTTTGGCATATTTTCATTTTGAATTAAACATTTGGTAATATTTCTACAACTAACAAAACTAAGTAGTTAGGATATCAGGATATCATATACAGATCGCATTTATGGCCCGATCCTTACGAAAATTTGCATGGGGATCAGATGAGGGTCAGAATACAAGCATACTCTTTTTGGAGATGATCCCCATATATTTAGGGGTTAAATGGACCAAAAAAACTGCAAAATTGTCAGCAGGTCGTAATTATTGCCCGATCCTCACGCACATTTAAATGGGGGTTACGGGCATGGCAAAAAGCCAAGCAGTTTCGGATGGCCATCCAAAAATATTCAATGTGTGAAATAGTTTACTATCTTTTGTAGACTAAATACGAAAATGTCCATTCCAGTGACTTTTTGGAGAATTCACAAATGCAGGAAAGATACACTTCTGACTATTTCGTTAACGCTGATTTCGTTGAAGAATATAGTCAAATGTCTGTATATCATATAGATGCGTTTCAGTCAAAAACCAATAATAAATGTTAATCTTTTGCCACTTCTGAGAGATTATAGGTGTTTGGGAAATATTGGTTCCAGATCTAGGAAGACCATTTATGTGCAACATCTACCAATAAATTGGAAATGAACAAATTAGTTAAAGTTGGTATTTTTCGAAAGTTAGAGAACGAAACCTGATGGTTTTCTTTTATTATTTGTCACAATATCTTGTGGAATTCTTTCGAGTATCTCGCCTATATAAAATGTATCGTTTATTATAGTGTTGTAGGGTATTCAATGGTCGGCCCCGCTCGACTGTAGCCTTTGCTTACTTGTTCTATATGAGTGTATGTTCACAATTTGGGATTTCGTTTGCAACCCCTATGAAAATGTCATAAAATACCCGATGAAGTATATTTTTTTGTTAGTTTAGACATGTCCCGAGTTTATATAATTGATAGAATTCACCCACTTTTCCGATAGATTTTTCGCAAATATTTTTTAATTTTAATTTCACGATTTGAATAAAAAGTCCATTTAGAAACTTTTATTATTTTGTTTTTTTTTTTTTCTTTTTGAGATGACATCCAAAGTATTCAAACTACCGTATATCACATTTTATTTTTTTTATAAAAACGACACTTACTTCATGTTGATGAACTTTTTAATACGAAATTATCAACTAAATTATCGAATACAAAAGTTAACAGCCGCAATTATGGATTTAAAGTCTTGTCTTATTATTTGTACAATTCGATATATATCAGTCCATTATAGTAGTTTCATGTGTGATTGTAATTTGTACTTTTTCACCGCCCGTCGAAAGTAGAAAACAGTTCCCGATCGTAGCGTAACGTTGCAATTTCCACCAAGTACTGAACCTCTCGATATGATGCTTCAAATTTCCAACCTGTCGATGCTATACGTATGACCGTAATCGCTGCTTTATGGCAGCACTTCACACCGACGGACACATGGATATTTCAGGTATAGAACGACAACAACATCGTCCAACAATACAATAAATGTTAACTGCAATAAAGCAGTTAATTTACCCTGCTCTTATTTAAACAAACGTATTTTTTTATTCTTCTATATCTGTTTTTTTTTATTTTAGTGTATAATCAGTTCTATAATCTCAGTTTGTATGAAGTGTAGAGCAATTACAGAAATTAAAAAAAAAAACACACACACTTTTATCACGTCCATTTTGTTTTAGATAAAAGTCATAGCATAAAGTGACAAATGTGTATTGCTTTTGCAAATTCCTTGAACTTTTATCAAATTAAAACATTTTTATTGGCTATTTACCCCCTGTCTAGGGTGTTCTGGCAACAAAAATGTGACTTTTTTGTTTAGAATTGTATTTTGTGCATTAATTTATTCATAGATTTTATATAAAAATTTTAAAAGTACCATTGCGAAGATTTTGGAAAATACAATACAATACTTGTTTAACTACATTTAATGAAATGGAAATTTAAATCATTTTTTTAAAAAGAAATTTCATAAATTTTTAATTAAACCTTTTTCTACCCTACAACACTATGTGTTGGGGATATTATAAGCTTGATTGGGCCAAAAATTATGTAACATCACGAAATATTGGTTTCCCACATAGGAAAGTATATAAGGATCTTCCTATCTCGCCGAGTGAGTCGATCCAGCTGACGAAAAGGTCAATTCTGACCGTTACATAGATGCCGATAGCAAATATATCGGTTATATATAGCGAAATATATACAATGTGTTATACAAAGGAAGGGGATGTTAGTTAGAATGCTTATATCTCAAGAATGGCTGGACCGATTTTTGACAAATTTTGTCAATTCAGAATTCCTTCTTGACATAAAAGTATAAAAATTTAAAAAAAAGTCGCAGAAAATATGCCAATATTGATGTTAGTATAGATTTTGTAGTATTTTGTGACATTTTTTATTTTTTCATTGTTTTTATCGCATGCGATTTTTTCAATTTGACTTTTTATATTTTGTAATATTTTTTCATCTTACAACACAGGTTAAGGATATTATATAAGTATTGCAAATATCGTCCGATCCTCACGAAAATTTTCACAAGGGTAGGGTTGAGCCAGAAGGGCTAGGCCTATTGTTTTCAAAGATGTCCGCAATATATTAGGGGGTTGAAATGGACCAACAACTAAAAATGTTCCTGATTTTCCAACCGTTATAAAGGTTACAAATAGAAACCAAAGGACACGAAATCTCGCATAAAGTTCGAATTTAGGAAAGCGGGTATAATGGACCACTTTGTGTGCAAAAATACCAGCATTACTCACAGGCGATATCCGAAATACACAAAAGGCGAACTTCTGGCTTTTTTATGCTGATTTCCTTGACGAATATAGCCAAATATCGTAGATAAGCAAATCACATAGATGGGTCTAAATTTGGAGATACAGAGGGGCTTCTTGCTTTTGAAGATGATTGCAAAATATTTAGGGGTTCAAATTAACCAAAAACAGAAATGTTTTTCCGATCACAAAATTGAAGCCAATCGACACGCCTGTGAAGAGAGTTAAGGACAGGGAAGAATTCTAGCATTTTGGATGACCATTGGATTATATTTAGCTGTAAAATGGACTACAACAACTAACAGCCAGCGGAGTACATAAATGTTGGGCAAATGTCCCTAGTCAAAATCCTAATTTCAAAAGCGAAATCTTCCAAAATGGATTTGGGCATAAGGGGGCTTCTAACATATTGTAGTGTTGTAGGGTATAACATAGTCGGCACAGCACGACTACAGCCTTTGCTTACTTGTTTTAATTAAATATTACATAGGATTACACTCAAAAAAGAAAATTGCACTCACTGAAAAATTAACTTTGTTTTAATGCCTTTTAATTAATTAAATGCCTTTTAATTAAAAAAATTAATAAAAAATTAAAATAATTAATTTCAGTCAATTTAATTTAAATTAATTTAATTGTAAAGATTTCGAAATAATCAAGATTTCTGTTATAATCACGCTAGAGTCAAAACGAATTAAGATATGAAGCTAAAATTTTGCGCAGATCAGTCTTTTGTCTGCAGGCAGGTCAGGATGGGCTATATTCGTCCACGATATCGTATAGCCCACATATAAAGGTACCTCTCGATATGCGGTATCTTGATGAATTTAGTCACAATAGAATTGTCTGAAAATCCATACAAAGAGTTCCTTGTGAGTACATTACCCCATGAAAGAGAATTGTCTACGTAGATCCACGATATCATATATCCTCTATATAGCGGTTCCTCCCGATATTCGGTATTTTGATGATTTTAGGCAAAAAATTTCAACGGAATTGTCTGAAAATCCACACAAGGAGTTCTTTGAGAGTATTTTACCCCCTAAAAGAGAATTGTGTATATAGGTCCACGATATCGTATATTCCCCATTTAACGGCACCTTCCGATATTCGGTATATTGATGATTTTAGACACATTTTTCAACGGAATCGGATTTTCTTGTGAGTACTTTATTCCCTGAAAGAGGATTGTCCATATAGGTCTACGATATCGTATATTCCCCAAATAGGGATACTGTTAATTGGGTATTCGGTATTTTGATGATTTTTCAACGGAATTGTCTGAAAATTCACACAAGGAGTTCCTTGTAACTACTTTATCCCCTGGCAGAGTATTAGCTATATAGGTCTACGATATCGTATAGCCCAAAAATATAACGGTACCCCCCTATAGGAATTCGGTATTTTGACAATTTAATCCACATTTTCTAATAGAATTGTCTGAAAATTCTCACAAGTAGTTCTTTGTGAGTACTTTACCCCCTAGAAGAGAATTATGTCCACTTTTTTGTATATCCCCCATATAACGGTACCCTCAGATGTTAGATATTTTCATGATTTTTGCGACATTAATCAGCGGAATTGTTTCAAATTTCGTATTTGAAGTTCGAAACCGTTACTACAGCCTATAACAAAAATTACTTATGCAGGACCACGTCTTCGTATAGCCCCCATACAACAGTATTCATTTGAGCGGTATTTTTCGACGGATTTTTTTTTTTTTGAAAATTCTCCAGTTTCTTCCAAATGGTGGAGGGTATAAAAAGTTCTGATTGTAGGAATCATTCTTGCAGAGAACTATACACATATGTCCAAATTTTAGTATAGAACAGTAGGTATTTTTATGAGTTCTTTCACAATTTTCACCGGAAATATTTGAAATTTGGAAATCGTAATGGTTAATAAATAGTTCTCTTAAACCAAACCAATGTCGCTAAAATCATCAGAATACCGAATATCGGAGGGTACAGGTATATGGGGGCTATACGAATACGTGGACCCACATGACTCATTTTCTGTCTTAGGCTGTAGTATCCATTACGAACTTCAAATACCAAATTTGAAACAATTCCGGTGAATAATGTCGCTAAAATCATCAAAATACCGAATATTGGGGGGTACCGTTATATGGGGGCTCTACGAAGACGTGGACCCACATTTTTTTTTTTTTTTAATATAAATTTATTTCTTTATTTGCAATCTATCTTTAAAACTAGACAATAAGCAAATTAGATAAAGTAAAGTTAACAGGAATTATGTAACTTCAGTAAGATACATAATTGTAAATTAAAAAGAAGATATATATTTTATAAATGCAATTCCTCAATTACTTAAATCTAGTACGTGCTTTCTCTTCAGTCTTCTTGTTTCATTTATTTTGTCCAATAGAGATTTGGCAAGAGGGTTTGGATGGTTTTGAAGTCTTTCATTGTAGTTTCTACTTAGTCTTTTAATCTCTTCTTCCACTGTGCGTACTTGCAGATCTCTTGATATCGTACTATTCCTGACATACCATGGGGCATTTGTAATTAATCGTAACATCTTCGATTGAAACCTTTGTATAATATTTATGTTCGATTTACAAGATGTTCCCCATAATTGGATGCCATACGTCCAAACCGGTTTTAGTATAGCTTTATACACGCGAATTTTGTTGTTTAAATTAAGTTTAGATTTAGGTCCTAGTAGCCAATAAAGCTTGCGGCTTTTAATTTTTAGCATGTTTTGTTTTGCCTTAATATGCGGTTTCCAGGTGAGACTGCGGTCCAGCGTCATTCCAAGATATTTCACCGTGTTATGCTTGGGAATTGGTTCGTTATTAATAATAGCTGGGGGGCAGTCTCCTCTTCGTAGTGAAAAAGTAATATGACTTGATTTTTCAGAATTGACCTCGATATTCCATCTTTTATACCAATTTTCAAGATCATTCAATTCGCTTTGTATATCGAAAGAGGCATTTTGGGGGCATTCATCTACTGCAGCAATGGCAGTATCATCGGCGTAGGTCGCAATAGTAACCCTTGGAGATATCGGCATATCTGCAGTGTACAGGGTGTATAAGATAGGGCCTAATACACTGCCTTGGGGAATTCCTGATCGAATTTCAATTTTGGGTGATTTTTCATCTTTAACTTTTACGTAAGCATTTCTATGACCAATAAAGTGTCTATTATGGTGTTGATGATCCTGTGGCATTGTTCAGGAGTGCCGTGTTTTTGTCTAAAACCGAATTGGTGATCGGGAATAATATTTTCATTTTTTAACAGCGGTAGCAATCTTTTTTTAAAAATTCGCTCACATATTTTCGAGAATATTGGTAAAAGTGAAATCGGTCGGAATGAGGACAGGATGTGTTCAGGTTTACCTGGTTTCGGAATCATAATTACCTCGACGGTTTTCCAATTTGTTGGAAAGTGGTCCAATCGCAAGATCGCGTTAAATATATTGGTTAGAAAAATTAAGCATTTGCGGGAAAGATTTTTAATGGCATTAGCATCTATCAAATCATGCCCAGGTGATTTTCCTGTTTTTAAGCTTTTAATTTCATCTGCTACTTCATTCAATGATATGTGCTTAATTGGCCGATCCATTTGACAAGCTGAAT